TAAAACATATCATAATTTCTTTAAAGGCCGAAGGCAAATTTGGATTGGATTAGGATCGTTAACTAGAACAGAAAGATTTTTATGAATGTGAAATGCCTCTAGAGAAAATCCAGTTCTCCAATGGAAGATGTTTTTTGAATAATTTTGGCAGCAGAAAAACTGAAAGGGTGGTTTTCAGACCAACAATGTTGAGCAACAGAAGACTTCTGTGTTTCCTTTTTTCTAACATATGCCTCATGTTCCTTGACGCGAAATTTTAAGGCTCTCTTAGTTTGGCCAATGTAAAATTAAACCACACTGGCAAGGAATCCTATAAATACCCAGGAATTCATATCCGGAATGGGGTCCTTGAGTATGGAACTCGGAATTTTATTGATGGGAGAATAAACACCCGAAAGTTAAAAATTTCTGTAAAATATGTGCAACTTTATAGCTAATTGATGGAAAAGAAGGGAATGACAACAGAATTTTTATAATCTTCTAAAACAAGATTGTGTTTTTGTGTGTTGAGATGAGAAGTTTTTTTAAGGCTTGATTAATAATGTTGGGTGGAAAGCCCCTGTCAATAGCTATTGCTTTTTAAATACTTTAGTTCTTCATCAAGGGCTAGTTTGGAGGAGCAAACTGAAGAGCACGGAAAAATAGGAATATAAAATGAAGCTAACTTTGTAGTCGGATCAAGGCTGTTTGGAGGAGCAAACTTAAGAGCACGGTGTTACACCAGAAACATAGGCAGGATCAAAATTCATTGTTGAAGCGAGTAACTGTCTGTTTAGTAGGATTTTGAATGCATTTAGAAGTGTGGTGGCTTGAAGGCAAGGGTTTGTGACGCGTTTCACGATAAGACGCGAAAACTGATCTGGATGGTGAACGTGTGGACCAGATGTCGAGAATCTAGGAAGAGGATATTGCAAGTCTCAAGTTCAAAAGTGAATATAATCTGCAATTCGCAGCAATCAAATAATGATTGCGAAAGAAGCAGGTTCTTTTTGACAAATCCAAACAATCAAAGTATCTTATCTCAATGCACGGGAGAGTTTGTCAAAGTTATAGTTGCATTTTTAAACTAATATCATTGCATTTTACAAGGACAGCCAGGATCCTTGAGGGAGCTTTAAAATTTCGCGTCATGCATAATCTCAGTTGGTGCTTGCTGCCAAATTATTATTTTGGAAATACAGTTAACGATCCTAATGTCTGTTTGTTATCAAAAGCGTGGAGGAGAATTTTGAAATTAGCCTCTCAATTTCGAATGCCCTGAAGAGAAATGAAATTCGCGAAGTCTACAGGTTCTAGACGTTCTAGTTAGATACACTCCACTGAAATTGGTGAATAGCTTTACATCAAAAGATTTTAACCAGTTTGAGTACCTTAGCGTGGAATACACTAGGAGAAATGTTTTTGAAACTGATTTTTGACTACACAAACAGGATCTATGTTGAACTTTTTTCTTGTTGACAGTTATTGTCTAATAGTATATGAAAATCTAGAAACTAAATGATACGTTAGTCTAAGTGCAGTAAAGAGGGAGGGGGGGTAGTTGGGGGGGGGGACGCAGAAGTGGTACAGCTACGCTAAAGCCAATGTGATTCGTATCATAGGCGGAAAGGAATACCACTGTTATGAATTTTGGGAAAGAGCAATGCTCCAGAACTATTTAAAGCAATGATCCGAAGATATCCCAGGTTTATTTATAACACCGTAGGTAATAGGAACGTCAAATAAATTACATTTCTAAGAAATCAAAGTTTCTGCCGTTACAAATGTCTCGTAAGGTATTTTTAATAGGCAAATCAGTGAATAAAAAGCTCTAAAAAAAATCATTACAAAACCAATAAGCACAAAACTAACTCAGCAGGAGTAGTATAATAACTTCTAAAATACAAAGCGAGTTGACTGTGAAAGAATCATAAAAACAATTTACGAAATTTAGAAGGAAAAGTACATCTGTGTCTAAGCCACATTTTATTTTTTATTAAATTGTTGCCGAAACCACACATTATTTTCACCAAAATCATTCAAAAAACAGTTCAGCGCGCTTGGTGAAATGGAAAGGTGGCATTTCACATTCGCCCGTAGAAAGTAATTCTTAGTTTTTCATTTTGAAAATGTTGTTTATTTGGCCTTAATATATTTTGTATTCTTAACCTAAGATGTTTAATTTCTATTTTAGTCATTATTTTATTATTGTTTTAATTTAGTTCAAATGTGGTGCAAATAGAAATTTTATGTAAAAATAAAATCTGAAATCATATCCATCTATAAATTTTGTCTTATTTTACTTCATTGCATATTGATCATCCACCATTAATTTCTCATACACTGTCCAAAGTTTGACCTCATTAAAATGCAAAAAATGTCCAAAGTTTGAACCTCATTCTAAATTCAAAAATAAATAAAAAGAAAAACAAAAGAACCAAGGGAGAGCGAGTTAAAAAAAAAATATAAAGTTGGTTTTATTATATGGTGGATGGTGTATATAAAGAGAATTAAGTAATTTAATTCTCTTTATATACTGTATTCCAAACCAATTTTATAAATCCTAATTTTTCATACGGTATAGAATCTGCAAGTCTGCAGTCTGTCAAACTGGTCGATACTCATCCTGAAGGAATTAAAAAACAAGTAATATACCCCCCCCAAAAAAAAATTAAGTCAATTCCTACTTAGGTCCCCAAAGAAAAGTTTAAAAATAAATAAATAAATAAATAAAAATACAAACATAATTTTTTAAAAATTAAAAATTAAAAAAAATTTTAATATGTGAAAAAGCTGTATTAACATCAAGTGTCATTCACTGTAAGTTTAAAAAATTGTATTTGAACTTGAGTAGATGAATAAAAAGCATTTTATGTACTAAAAATTTGAACAAGATATAGGGAGAGTGTGAGCTAATAGTAGGAATTTAATAATTCCAGGTATTCCTTTCGCAAAGGCAGTAAAAAAAAAAAATCTCTTTGAACAGGTCGCTCTAAATAAATCTTTCGGACCCATTCTTGCCATTTTTTGTGGTTTTTCCTCTGCTTAATAATTGCACATAATAGTAAAGTTTCAGCTATAAAAAAATCATCTGATTCGGACAACTTGCCGCAAACATACAAAAGAACAGCAAAGTAGTAAGATACAGCTCTGTTGACGCTATATTACAGCGTCACGTCATTTTTGCACAAATAATTCTATTGGTTAAACGCACTCTTCGCAAGCGTACTCGTTTGGACGCTTTCACGCTGGTAACGTAAAAGCGCGTTCGTCAGCTACGTTTCGAGCGTACTCGTCTTAAGCGTCTTGTTGCAGTTCCTTCGCATGCATTCTGCTAGACCGCTTCTCTCTGACTTTCTTACCAAGTGAAGGTGCATTTACTTTTTATTACGTAGGATGCACGTGACACAGTTCATTATAACTTCCTCTATTTCCTTTGTAGCATTCAAAATATGAAAATCTCTTTTCAATAGATCTTCCGTCTTCTGTACAACAAAATGTCCTTTGTTATGTATGCCACGAATAATCTCTTACTCTATCCCTCCTGCAAATACAACACATTATCTTTTGGTAAGTAGTCATCTCAGAGTCCTTTCTCAACCAGAGTTTTTAATAACTGAAAACACTCATCAGCCTCTTGCGCTGCTGGGATCTTAGCGGTGATTTCACCTTGCTTACAAGTGACCATGCTCACAGCATGCCTGCTTAGTGTGTTGACATGTCTCATCTGTTGATTGGGTCAGTGGAAAACTTCATGTTTGAACTCATTGAGTAGTAATGCCCATGCAGCTATTTTTGGCGTCAGATCTTTTTTCTACATTGCTTCGCAGTCGGTGACTATTTTGATTTTTTTCCCTAAGAGATAACTTTGAAATTTTTTAAAGCCTTTGACAGTCGCTAGCACTTCGAGTTCACGACCTGACATTTTTCTTGTTGGGGGGATGTTTTCTTACTTGTGGAATTTATGCAGCTGTCCATCATCTGAGCGTTGAAGCAACACTGCACCGAAACCATGACTACTAGCATCCATATGTAACTCCAAAGGTTTAACCTTGCTTGTTTTTTGATTGGATCCCATTCTGTGTCAGTAGCCATAAAATGTTCACTTTGAGACACTGCAGCAAAATCTAATGTGTCTATAAATTCTAAGCTGCCGCTCATCCTTATTTTGAAGTATCCTGGCCGAGCCCCTAGATTTTCTGTGAGTGGGGCGTTAATAACACTTCCGCACTACAGACATTTAATGAATAATAATTGATAATAGAATAGCTACAGATTTGAATTAAAATAACAGTACTGTTGCGCATCATTGCGCTTGTTAGATACAAACACAGTTCTGCATGACTTAAATGCAGTATTTAATAAAATAGCTTCACAGTGCCTACTCGCTCTTGCTACTTTAACAGAATTCATTTGTTGCCACCTTCGTGTGGAATCAACATCTATCTGACAACATTGTTTTTCGCCTTGCTCTCACTGTCGACGCATAGGTGATGCCCTCTGGTGGCTGTGTTACACTGATACTACATTACTTTGCTACTTAATGTTCATTTTCCTGCTGTTTTATTCAGTATTGATTTGGCTTTAACCAGTAAATTTGATACGATAAATAGTTAGTGACAGCAATTTGAGTGTCATTTCTGAGACTTTTTATTTAGTTGTTTGAAGTTAAGTGTATTTCATTGAACAGTTTTAACATTTCTGTGCCGAACTATGCCAACAGTGCCAGATTTATATATGTGTATGCTCCGCCCCCCCCCCCCCGAAAAATTTTAGCATATCCCATATAAAAAAAATTGACTCGTAGTCATTGTAAAGGGCCCCATAACTCAAATAGCTTAGGATCTCATCAAATCTAAATCCAATCCTGTATGCCAAGTAAAATTTATAGAATAGTATTTTTAATGCACATTAATTTAAAAAATGTAATGAAAGCACTGTACAGTGTCAGAAAAAATAGTACATGCAGTTTAGAGGCACTTGTAACATTATCTTGAAAGTATGTATTCTTATTTTTTTAGGGTTACCTGCTGATTTGTTGAATGATTATATGATGAATGATGTTGAACCTATATGGTTTGAAGCCAATAGGTTTCAAGAAGTTGAGAGAGATTACCAAGAGTTAATTGCTCAGCAGAATCGGCAACGGTTAACTCAGGCAAATCCTGTAAGAATTTAAAAAATCATTTATATATGGTATTTAATATTTAGTTAGATGATCAATACTGAATTTAAAATTAGGTAAAATTCAACCATAAATTGACAATGTTTTGTTAAAAAAATATTTAATTTAAGATCATATCTATCTTCTTTGAAACCAAAGTATTCTGTACCATATGCCAGAATTGTCATCTATATCAGCAATAAACAAATAAATAAATAAATAAATAAAAAGCAACGAATAATGCCATCTATCAAAATATCTTTGCTTCTTCAAGGTGAGGAATGAATTCCTTGTCAGTCCTATTCAAAATGCATAGTTTTTCCATAAAACTTGCATCTAAGGCTCAATTTTGTCTTATTTTTTATTTTTAAACTGAAGTACTTCTGTTGCATGTATTTGACTGATTATAATTTTTGTTTCTTTTGCTCATAATGTGTAATTAATAAACTGTAGTGACTAGGTTTTGCATGATCTGGATTTTTTATAATTATTGGGAAAAATTGTTATTAAAATTTGTTAATTTTTATTACTTTTTGTTGTGCATCTGAATGTATACTTACCTTCTAGAATACATTTAATTTACTACTTAATCATATAACTTTGGACATAAACTTAAATTTTAAAGAGTGAATTTAAAGAGTTGCAGAGATGTAATGGGACAATTATGTGTGTACAAAAAGATTTTAATGTATCAAATCTGTGAGAGAATAAGAAATTTATTTTGCAATCAGAATTTATAAATGATGGTTATGAATGGTTTTATTAGTTGCTTTTTTAGAGAATGGTACACTCAACTACATTTTATATGTAACAATTCTGCATTGAATAGTTGTTGTATGATTATTGCTATAAAGAAGGCTCTGCATGAATTGTGATGGTATGTATATGATGCATTTTTAATTGTAAAATTTGAATATTGGGAGAAAATATGCTGAGAAAGCTACATTAACCGTTTGACTGCTACGCTGCGCAAAAGCACTGTGTTCATTTGTCTCGAAAACCGTGACACAGTTAGTTGTTTTAGAATGCACTCATGTTACAAAGTACGCTTGAGGTCATACTACATTCACATCTACGGAGCAACAAAGACACACTGCACGCGAGTTTTGAGACAAATGTCGCGGTTTTCAAGACAAATGAACGCATCGCTTTTGCGCCGCGTAGCAGTCAAACGGCTAAGTAATGAATAAGTTGCAAGTGCCACTGCCAAAACTACTATATCTTAAAATATTCAAAACCCTCCCCTTAAGTACTTTTTAACTTCATTTGCATTCCGTTGAGTGCTAACAAAAGAGAGATGTATAAAAAATTCGTAAATTAATATAAAACATAAAATAGATATAAATAAGCAAAAAAAAAAAAAATCCTCCACTACAAAAGAAACTTGCTAAAACTACTGAAACTATGCTAATTCTAAAATGTTACTTTATCCTGAAAGTTTGGTAGGGATTAAAGCAAATTTTCTCCTCTTTTGAATTTATCCATTTATCTTCAGAATATTGAAATATGTTGCATGCGATAGCAAGAAATGTTTTGTTACACTGTTTTTTTTTTATGATATAGATTCAATTTGGACAATCATTTCATTTCTTTCTTTTTTGTTTTGTTTCTTGCTCTTTCTAAATTTTTATCATTGATATGAAGAGAAATTCAGTTTCAATATCTTTCCTAAATACTGATGTGAGAGAGTTTTCATAGCGAATACAGACAAAAAACGCATAGACATGTAATTATCAAAAAAAGTTATTATTGCAATCGTACGAATGAGGCATCTTAAATTATATAAAAATTATTTAAATTAAGTGTTAATATATGAATAAAATAGTGATGACACATTAGAAAAAGCGTTAGCAAAAAATTAGTGAAAGCAGGCCTACGTGGCAATTGCTATGAACGAAATTATGAAGTTTCTTTTTTAATGAAAGCAAAATATGCCACTGTTCATAACATTTGTACAAAAACTTATTAAAATGTCTTTTTTTTTTCCTTTCTTTTTCTTTCTTTCTTTCTTTTTTTTTTTTTTAAGATGCAAGTAATAAAAAATTTTTTTATGTCTAAGGTATTTTTGTGTTGCTTGCATTTAAGACTTAGTAACTATTTAATGTTAATTGATTATTAAAAACTATATTTTTATCATTTAAAAAGTCTTTTTAACATTGTGAAAAACTTCGTGATTTTTGAGTGTCATAGGTTGGCAAGTATGTATATGAAATGCCACTTTCTGTAGTTGCTGAATACAGAAAGTTTGATCTGGCTTCAATCCCAGGGCTGACTGCATGTTTGAATATTTTTTTGGTTTTGTGTGTGTAATATGAATACGAGCCAATTTCCTTTTTAAAATCCTCCACAGAGTCATCCCTTCCCTTAGGCAGATAGCCCATGTGTCTTTTGGTATTTTCAAATAACCTTTCCTGAAAAGAAATCGATAAGCTACTTGGAAAAAGACTTTCTAATTCAAATTACAAAAATCTCTGTAAAAATAGATTCAAAGCAATGGTCTGTTCAGTGATTTTACGTCAAAACAGCATTCTTGTAAGAATTGATCGCAGTTTCTATTATAATCTAAGTATCACAATTGGTATGGTAATTGGTTTAGGTACTCCGGTTTGTATTCAGTTTGCATCTTAAGACAGCAGAAGGTTTTTTTGCACTGGGTAATAGAGTTAAACTGTAGCTGTTGGAACTTGGAATTCAGGAAAAAGAACAAATACGAAAAATGACTAATCTTTTATCATTAAAACTGTCATGTATGAGGTTGCCTAAAAAACTGCTGTATGTATGACTGCCAAAGTTGAGCACATTTATAATCTTTGGTAATTTTTACCAAAGTGGTTATAATAAATGCTTAAGCGTCAGCAGTGATGTTGCAATGGGTATGATAAACTGCAATCAGTTTTGCGGCTTGAAACTAGAAAACGTGAATGAGATAGAGCCAATAATGAAGTGATATTTAGTGGAATTTAATCAGAAAATGGTTAAATTCTGATGGGATTTTAAAATGTAGTAATTCTCTAAAATAGTGTTGGTTATCTTGACAATTTCCCATAGCAGTATAGTTGGCGAGAGAATTTTGAGTATTGTTATTAACCCCTTCGGGACGGCATGTTGATGAACTGAAAACCCTCTGCAGACAGATATGTCATATGTGCATCAGTCCCAAAGGTTGCTAGCAGCAGGGTGATGCAGTGGTGCATCACTGCTTGCATTGATCTTCCAGATGGGTGTTGCATATATGCATTCTCAAAACAAACACGTTCTTTTAGAATTTTTTTAAATTACAAGATGGCATTCTGTATCCACTACAATTAGCTTATTTGAACATATACATTGTTGACCTTGTGTCCTTGAAGTACTTTCTGATTCTGGTGATTCGTTTAGATGTACAAGTAGATGATATAGAGTAAACAAAACCACCTAATGCGCAGTTGGCTTCACGCGATATGAACATTGTACAGTATCCTATGCTTCAATTTTGTTTTTTTCCTGTGGGAAGATTGGGAGTGGAGTTGTGTTTTTAGGTACTCCGGTTTGTATTCAGTTTGCATCTGAAGACAGCAGAAAGTTTTTTTGCACTGAGTAATAGAGTTAAACTTATAGTGCAATATCTAAGAGACAGAAGTTTTTAACGGTAGAAGAGTATATTCCAATAGTAAAGCCCGTAAGTGTTTATTCGAGCCCATAGGTGACTATTTTGACATAAAAAAACTCTAGATTTAAGTGAGAATAGTGATTTTGATACCACAATTTTCTCAGATTGAATTGGAAGTTTGTTTTGCTTTCACACTACAATCCAGCAGAACAGTGACTTTCACACTACAATCCAGCAGAACAGCGACTACTCAGTCATGAACTCGATCTGTTAAGTAATTGAAGCCTTATGACTTTATGGGAATTGCAGAAATAAACTTGATTAAGAGTTATGAAAATGAAATAATTTTTTCAATAATCTAATGAGCATAATAGTTGAAGAAACTAATAATTTCTATAAACAAAAGATGAGTGAAAATACTCCTTTACATGGGTCTAAAATGAAGGGATTCCTAGGATTAATTATTCTGCTGGGATGGAATAATTAAAAAGTTTGACCTGAAAATGTGTTTCTTAGCTAATGAAATGATAGCGACTAGATTATCACACACTGTCTCCTTTCTGAATAATTTTTGCTATGATATTTGATCATATATTTTATTATTTTTTATATCTATTTAGATAGAGATTTAAGTAAGTTTTCTACAGCATTTCATCAAGATGAGTCAATTATTTTATCTTGCATTTAGAATTTAATTAAATTGTTTTTCAGAATCTCTTGATATTCTGTATTTATCATTATATTAGTGTTAGATAACATTACAGAAAAATTCAAAACAATTGATTAAAAAGGTTTTAATGATTTTTTTTTTTTTAAAGTTAGGCTTAAATACACGAAATATTCTGTGTCATGAGATCATACTAGTGCAACAACTCACCATCTCCAAAGTGAGTTGCGTAAAGTGCCATACCGTCTCGTAAGAGGATTCACTGCTGATGCATATATGATGCACCTGTCCTGAAGGGCTTAAAACAAGGACTAAATTTAAAATTGGTTTGAATAATGATGCATTGAATAAACTTTTATTAGCAAAAATCAGGCCAATGGCAATTGCTATTATTTAATATAATTTACTAATGGCAATTGCTATTATTATTTATTATTCTATAAACGTATGATTTCTTAAAACCTGCTACTGTTATTAACAGTTGTACAGAAATAGATTGAACTTCTTTTTTTTTCTGTAAAATGTTGTATACAATAAAAGTATTTGTAATATACAGTATTTTAAACTGATTGGATTTAAAATGATACTAATTGTGTTTTCAGAGAAGCTAGAAGCTAAACATTTTATCCCATTGACCATGGTTAGCGGAGACAGTCAAATCTGAGTTGATGGAGATCCTGCCAAAGTTGTGCTAATGGTTTCTGCATAATTCTGAAGAAATTGACACCTTTTTGTTTAATAAACAAT